GAGCAATTGTTCCAAGATTAACAAATGTATCCTTTCCAAGAAGGGATTAACTTTATGGAGGCGTATCCCACAGGTTTGCACCTCATCGATTTTTTTTCTTTTTTTTAGACAGTCTTGCTCTGTCACCCAGGCAGGATGGAGTACAGTGGTGCAACCTCAGCTCACTGCAAACTCCACCTCCCGAGTTCAAATGATTCTCTTGCCTCAGCCTCTCAAGTAGCTGGGATTACAGGTGCACACCACTAGGCCCAGCTAATTTTTGTCTTTTTAGTGGAGATGGGGTTTCACCATGTTGGCCAGGCTGGGACACCTCAGCCTCCAAAAGTGCTGGGATTACAGACGTGAGCCACCACACCTGGCCTCAACTTAACAAGTAAACTTAACCCCAAAGAAAATGTACAGTCGGTGGCTGGGCACGGTGGCTCACGCCTGTAATCTCAGCACTTTGGGAAGCCAAGGCGGGTGGACCACAAGGTCAAGAGATTGAGACAATCCTGGCCAACATGGTGAAACCCAGACTCTACTAAAAATATGAAAATTAGCTGGGCGTGGTGGCACGCGCCTGTAGTCCCAGCTACTCGGGAGGCTGAGGCAGAAGAATCGCTTGAACCCAGGAAATGGAGATTGCAGTGAACCAAAATCGCTCCACTGTACTCCAGCCTGGGTGACGGAGCGAGACTCCATCTCAAACAAAAAAAGAAAAATGTTCAGTTGGACAGGTAGACTGAATGTTAGCACTCTCTTCCTTCTGTAGTTACCTTTCAATCCCTCCAAAAAGTCCACAAGAAACTGGGAGCCAAAGAGATTAAATTAGGAACACAAGTATTCCTAGCTTCCAAAGGCAGAAAACTGAAATTCAGTTGTTTTTTTTTTTCCAACCTCGGCCTCCCAAGTTCAAGTGATTCTCGTGCCTCAGACTCCCGAACAGACAGGACTATAGGTGCGCGCACCATGCTGGCTAATTTTTGTATTTTTAGCAGAGACGGTGATTCACCATGTTACCCACGCTGGTCTCAAACTCCTGAGCTCAACTCATCCACCTAGCTCAGCCTCCCAAAGTGCTGGGATTACAGGCATGAGCCACCACACCCGGCCTTTGAAATTAAGTTTTTTGGTTCTGTTTGATGCAACTACACCTACTAAAAAGGATGGATGAGTGTCTACCAGAGCAAGAACTAGAAACCAAAAAGAGAACTTAAATTTATTTTTGGCTACTAAACAGTTCATGAATTTGTTCATTCAACTAATTTACATGGAGAACCTACTTGTATGTTGGGCTCTGCACTTGGTATGGAAGATTATAGCAAAAATGAGACACAAACTCATCACTATTAGGGGAATTACTCAAAGCAATATTATACTGATGATGTTTTTTGTTTTTTGTTTTTTGTTTGAGACGGAGTCTCGCTCTGTCGCCCAGGCTGGAGTGCAGCGATGCAATCTCAGCTCACTGCAACCTCTGCCTCCCGGGTTCAAGCGATTCTCCTGCCTCAGCCTCCCAACTAGCTGGGATTATAGGCATGCACCAACATGCCCAGCTAATTTTTTGTATTTTTAGTAGAGATGGGGTTTCACCATGTTGGCCAGGCTGGTCTCGACCTCCTGACCTCAAGTGATCCACCTGCCTTGGCCTCCCAAAATACTGGGATTATAGGCATTAGCCACCACACCCAGCCTGGATATTTTTAATTGGATTACTTTTACTTTACAAAAAAATTAGTTGATTTGTTTGATCACTGAATTGACCAGCTGTTTGGATATTCTGCTTAGAGAACCTTAAGGCTAGCCAAAAATTGTTACAGATTTGTAAGATTTTTGCCTTAAAAATGACAAAATACATTAGCTAAATAGATTCATCCCAAAGCAAATTATTTGTACTCAGATTTTGTGTGCTCCTACACCGTTTTGGGTAGGCTCTGTATTTTCCACTTTGTATCTTCCACTGTGCTAGGCACAGTGAAATGCAAAATATACACTACTTAATCAATTAGTTCTCTTATAATTTTCATAAATCCCTGATTTCATTCCCAAATAGAAATAATTTTCTGGTGTTCGGATATAAATCCTATAAGATGTTTGCTTAAATATAACTTTATTAAACAGGAATTAATGCTATTTTACAAAGCTTGTTCATAGCTCTACACATACCTTTTGTGAAGTCCATCAGGATTTTGTGCCATGAGCTAAAAAGAGAAGAATTTTCCAGTCTAATATGTGTTTACTGCTGTTGGTGCCACTTTTGAGCAGCAGGCATAATACCCTGTATCTACTGCCAATACAAGTGACTTCATGTCTATTCCTGTTTTACTAAAGGACAATCTGTACTCTGCGCTCTCATTTCAAATGCACCAGGGAGACACATCATCCTTTGTCATAAAATAGTCATCCGAAAAATGAACCACCATCAATTCCAAGTCTAGCTAGTTTTCATAAATAATATTTGTTAAATAGTCCTATTAATTCTGGGCTTTCTTGCTAGAGTGGTAGTATATTAGTATACTGTATTTTAAGTGCTTAGAAGATGAATGTATAGAACTTACCAGGGCTGTACAAATACAGCCAAAATAGGAATGTTCCTTTCAACTATACTTAATTCTGCTTCATTCAAGCTAACAATTGCATGTAAACATTCTTACTTTGTTTTAATTTCAAGCAACACAACTCAGAACATGCGCGACTGCAAGTTCCTACATCACAAGTAAGGTAAAAATTTTTTAATTTTAAAGAAATGTACGTTTTCCTACCTAAAATATTTTCAGCTTAAAAATGTAATATTTCTAAAGCCCTCGAGCCTACTCTATATCTTTTAAAAAATACAATGTGTATTTTCTAATGTCTGAGATGACGACCAAAATTTTGACGTTATCAAAACTATCACAGGGGAATTTTTTAGTGTTTTGGTCAAACAAGCCAGGACCATGCTTCTATATTAAACAATTTTCTCATGACAATGGAGACCCAATTCTAATTATACAATCTTTGGTGGTAAGAATAATCTACTGGGTACTGGGCATTTTAATAGATCATTTCTTCATCAATTGATGGCACTGTAAAAGAGAAACTAAGATGTACAATTTGTACCAGATATTTCTAAATTGCTACCATTTCTAATAGTCATCAAATATGCCACAGGTAAATACAGCCCTATGGCCTCTCTCCATTGTTATTACACTATCAGATCAAATAGTAGATTCTCCGGTTTCAAATTTGATGGCTAGGCTGGACGCGGTGGCTCACACCTGTAATCCTAGCACTTTGGAAGGCCAAGGTGGGTAGATCACCTGAGGTCAGGAGTTCAAGACCAGGCTGATCAACATAGTGAAACCCCGTCTCTACTAAAAATACAAAATTAGCCAGGTGTAGTGGCACATGCCTATAATTCCAGCTACTCGGGAGGCTGAGGCAGGAGAACCTCTTGAACCCAAGAGGCGGAGGGTGGTATAACTGAAATACATCTCTGAATATCACCATATACATGTTCACACCACCCCTATAGAAAAATGTCAAAAACTTAATTTGGATTTATTTATTTATTTTTGAGACAGACTCTCACTCTGTTGTCCAGGCTGGAGTGCAGCGACGTGATCTCGGCTCACTGCAACCTCCACCTCCCAAGTTCAAGCGATTCTCCTGCCTTAGCCTCCCGAGTGAGCTGAGATTGGGCCACTGCACTCCAGCCTGGGCAACAAGAGTGAAACTCCATCGCAAAAAAAGTAAAGTTGATGGCTAAACTATATTTGTGCAAAATGAAAAGCAATGATAATATTTACACATAGTTGTTATCAAAATATTCTTGTAGAAGTAGATCATCCTCAAGGGGAGATGTGAATGATCAGGATGCAATCCAGGAGAAATTTTACCCACCACGTTTCATTCAAGTGCCAGAGAACATGTCGATTGATGAAGGAAGATTCTGCAGAATGGACTTCAAAGTAAGAGAAGAGTTCAAAAGTACTGGGGGAAAATTAACAATGGGATACTGTTTTGAAAAATGTCCTTTTCCTACTTCATAGCTTGCAAAGCACTACGTACAATGTACGATGGACAAGAACACAAATTCTGAAGCCAAACTGATGTGGGTTTGAATTCTGGCTCTGCCACTTTCCAGCTAAGCAACTTTAGACAAGTCATTTAACCTCTCTGTGCTTTTGTCTCCTCATCTGTAAAATGGGATAACAAATACCCCAAAAAGTTATGAGGATTAATCGAGTAAATAGGTATACCTCATAAATACTCTTTATAAGTGAAGCTATCAGAACAATAGAATTTTTAAACTATAATGCCTTTTTCTTTTTTTTTTTTGAGACAGGGTCTTGCTCTGTCACCCACGCTGGAGTGCAATGGTGCAATCTCAGCTCACTGCAACCTGTCTTCCAGGTTCAAGCCATCCTCCCACCTCAGCCTCCCTAGCAGCTGAAACCACAGACACGTGCCACCATGCCCAGCTAGTCTAGAACTCCTGGGTTCAAGGCGATCCACTCACCTTGGCTTCCCAAAGTATTGGGATTACAGGCGTAAGCCACTGTGCTCAGGCTTAACGTATAACGTTTCTCCAATTCTTCTCTATCAAGAAATTCAAGCCACCCTGCTTTCTCTTGCCCTAAAGGAGTCCCTCAGACTAGGAAAGCTCTTTAGAAGAGGTTATATTTTTATTATCCTTATTTTGGAGAACTTTTCGTTATAAAATTTTTTTTCCAGATTCCTTATGAACTAAAGTTAGTGTTAAAGCTTTGGATTTCATTAACAGTTTATGTAAAAACACTTAACAAATTGCCATTTATATGCCAAACTATAGCTCAAGAACACTCTGTTTTAGAAAAATTACTCATTAGATCAGCAAGCCTCATATATATGTGCCTCTGTGACTTCATTTGCAGTCACATTTAGCCAGAAAAGCAGTATGACTTCTATATTCCTTACAGAAACCAACATAACATAAATTAATGTTCTAAGTATAGTAATTAAGAGTTCATAAAGAGACTGAGGTTGCATGTAAAACAGTTATGGTTTGAGATAGTCTAAAAATACTATATTAATTTCAAGGATCTTATTTTCCAATGTTTTGTTTAAAAAAGTATAAATACCTTTTGAGCCCTTGCTTTGCATTTCAATCACAAACCCACTCAGATACAGGAACTGTTTAAATTCATATATGGACAAATAGGTTTCAGTGATGCAATACTTTAAAATTCTGCCATCTCCTTGTGTTTTTCTTTCTAGGTGAGCGGACTGCCAGCTCCTGATGTGTCATGGTATCTAAATGGAAGACCAGTTCAATCAGATGATTTGCACAAAATGATAGTGTCTGAGAAGGGTCTTCATTCACTCATCTTTGAAGTAGTCAGAGCTTCAGATGCAGGGGCTTATGCATGTGTTGCCAGGAATAGAGCAGGAGAAGCCACCTTCACTGTGCAGCTGGATGTCCTTGGTAAGCCTCCAAAAAGACCCTTGAGAATTCCTTAAAATCCAGAAGTATTGAAAAAAAGAAGGTATTTTAAAAGAAAAGCCCAGCAGACTTCATATTTAAGGTTAATGTCTACACAACCTATTGGACTGTCCATTTTTATCTACAAACCACAAGAAAAAATATAGATATATATACATATATACACACATACACACATACACACACACACACACACACACACACATATATATATATATGTAAAGGAAAGTCAGTGAAACTAGAACGATAGATCTATCACCAAAGCTTTTCTGGAAAGAAAATAAGTCATACAATTTTAGACAAACCAAATAAGGAAGCATAAGCATTTCTAGATGTAACTATAGAGTCTCAAAATAAAAATCTTAGTCTAATCATTTCTCTGGTCTTTGTTTCTCCAAAATGAGGATAATAAAAATAATCAATCTGACTCATGATATTATGGAATTATCATAATCTGTCATAATGTTAAATACATAGTTTAAAATTGAAGAGTAGGAAGGGTATAGTGACTCAGGCCTGTAATCCCAACACTTTAAGAGGCGCCAAGGTGGGAGGATCACTTGAGCCAAGGAGTTTGAGACCAGCGGGGTAACAAATAGCAAGACCTTCTTTGTCTCTACAAAACATAAAAAAAGTTAGCTGGGCATAGTGGTGCCAGCTACTAGAGAGGCTAAGGTGGGAGGATAACTTGAGCCTGGAGTTTGAGGTTACAGTGAGCTATGATTGCACCATTGCACCACTGTACTCTGGCCTGGGTGATAGAGTAAGACCTTGTTTTAAAAAATTTCTTAAAAAATTAAGAGTAAATATCAACTTTTAATCTTAGACTATGTCCTTTTTACTAGGAAACTAATCTCTAATTATAACCAAAACAGGCCTACTTGCTTTAGAAAACAGGTATGGCTACATTTATGTCTCAAATCTGTCTTAAGTAGGGCAGTTCTTATAAAACTGGTGTCTAGTTTTTAAATTTTTTTTTTTTTTTTTTTTTGAGACGGAGTCTCGCGCTGTGTCGCCCAGGCTGGAGTGCAGTGGCGCGATCTCGGCTCACTGCAAGCTCCGCCTCCCAGGTTCACGCCATTCTCCTGCCTCAGCCTCCGAGTAGCTGGGACTACAGGCGCCCGCCACCACGCCCGGCTAGTTTTTTGTATTTTTAGTAGAGACAGGGTTTCACCATGTTAGCCAGGATGGTCTCGATCTCCTGACCTCGTGATCCACCCGCCTCGGCCTCCCAAAGTGCTGGGATTACAGGCTTGAGCCACCGCGCCCGGCCTAGTTTTTAAATTTTACACTTTAAGTGCTTTAAATATACAAGTTGAGTATCCCTAATCCAAAAATCTGAAATCTTTAAGATGCTCCAAAATCGACATGACACACAAAGGAAATGTTCATTAGAGCATTCTGGATTTTCAGATTAAGGATGCTCAACAAGTATAACGCTAATATTCTAAAATTTAAAAAAAATCAGAAATCCAAAACACTTCTGGTCCCAAGCATTTCAGATAATGGATACTCAACCCATACCACATTTTTAATACTTTAAACCATTGTATATTGCATAAGAGATATTTTGCTATAATTCACTGTTTATTATATAAAAGTTTGATCAGGTTAAAGGATAAACTATTTCTTGAGTTTATATTCCACCCAGATCAATACAAAAATCTTTAAGATTATTCCATAATATACCAAAGGACCTCAAACTAAGGGAAAAACTAGTGAGCTAGAAATTTTCAAAAACACATACAATTTAAGTGATTAAAGTTTAGGCAAATCTTATTTGTACCAATTGCTTCAGAAATACTACAATAGTAGAGCTGAAAGAGATCTTGGCTGCCATCTGTTTAATCTCATCTCTCCTTCAGAAAAATCAGGGTTATGGTACTGAACTATCCTTTCCTCTCTCCCCTCAGGTAGGAAAACAAGGTCATAATAATTACTGATATTCCCATATTCCTTCACAGTTTACAAAGTATCTCTTCGTTTATTATCTCATTTGTTCCTTACAACTATTTTGTGTGGTAGACACAACAGTTACTACTACCTGGATTTTTTTTTTTTAAACAATAGATAAAACTGAGACTCAGAGAAACTAAACAAAATTTTATCAGTTTTGCATGGCTCGTGGAGCCACTAGGTAATTTGAACCCAAGTTGTCTGATACTCTTTCCATCACTCATGCCGCCTCCCTGTAGATGAGATGATTAAAAAATACAACTTAAATTTGGGCCAGGCACAGTGGCTCATGCCTGTAATCCCAACATTTTACGAAGCTCAGGTGGGCAGATCACTTGAGGCCAGGAGTTAAGAGATCAGCCTGGCTAACATGGCAAAACCCCATGTCCACTAAAAAAATACAAAAATTAGCCAGGTGTGGTGCACGCCTGTAATCCCAGCTACTCAGGAGACTGTGGCAGGAGAATTCCTTGAACCTGGGAGGCGGAGGTTGCAGTGAGCCAAGATCGCACCACTGCGCTCCAGCCTGGGCAAAAGAGCGAGACTTCGCCTCAGAAAAAAAAGAATATGACTTAAGTTTTAATGAAATATAATTATCTGATTATCAATTCAATGAATCATTACATTAGAGTTTAGAATTCTGAACGGTATAATAAAATAGTATTGCATGTCTGTCTTTTTAACTAAAAGTTTCTAATTCTGTTGCTGTTGGTTTTAACATTTTAATATCAACATACAAATTTCATAATGATTTAATACCTTTTTTACAATATTTCAAACACTTGAATTTTTGTATTAATATATAGCAAAAGAACATAAAAGAGCACCAATGTTTATCTACAAACCACAGAGCAAAAAAGTTTTAGAGGGAGACTCAGTGAAACTAGAATGCCAGATCTCGGCTATACCTCCACCAAAGCTTTTCTGGAAAAGAAATAATGAAATGGTACAATTCAACACTGACCGAATAAGGTAGGATATGTATTTCTAGACTTACTATAGTTTATTTGGGCGAATCCAGTTATACTTTTTAACATGCATTATAAATGGCATGCATTTATCTCAATTTGTCTAGTTTTTAAAACACTAAAGAATAATATAATAAAATATATATTAGATAATAAATGTAAGAAAACTTCAGTAAGCCAGATTCCACTAATCGGAAATGTAAGGCATAAAGCAGACTAGGATTTATCTTTTTATCAATGATGATGAAAGATGGTTCAAGGAAATAAATGACATAAACAAGATTAAAGGGGGATATTTTCTTTTCTTTTCTTTCCCTTTTTTTCTTTACAAAAAGCTTCAGCCTTTATTAAACAAAGGAGAAGGTAGGAGACAGATAAGGGAACAGGTCAGAACCCCTCCGGTTCCCCTATACATACACATAAATACAAACACAGACACACCCAAGTGAATGACAGAGACCATCAGGGATCAGGGGACAGACTGAAGGGCAGAGGGAGACAGCACCCAAGGGGGGATGTTTAATTCAAGAAAACCAATAGCTATTTGGCAATAAATAGATACAGCTTCGGAATTTTCAAATGTTTTTTTCTTCTCAGTCTGACTGTAGGTCAGAGACATCCACTTCCCAGAAATAATTCCTGTACTTTCATTTCTTAAAAAATTTTTTTCAGCTTATATCAAGATAACACTGGAAGAGTTACTTTACTGATAAAAGATGTAAACAAGAAAGATGCTGGGTGGTATACTGTGTCAGCAGTTAATGAAGCTGGAGTGACCACATGTAACACAAGATTAGACGTTACGGGTATGTCATACTATTAACCAAAGTATTATAAGGGATTTAACTAGGAAGATTTAATAAGAAATGCAAATTCCAGCAGAGTATAAAAGTTGAGAGATTTTCCCTATATATAATCAGCTTTGGTTCTTTTTTCTTTTCCTGTCTGATAATAAATACCTAGGTGTCCAATTTGGTTAGAACAGGTTTTCTGAATCAACTTTTATGTGATCTATTTCAGCACGTCCAAACCAAACTCTTCCAGCTCCTAAGCAGTTACGGGTTCGACCAACATTCAGCAAATATTTAGCACTAAACGGGAGAGGTTTGGATGTAAAACAAGCTTTTAACCCAGAAGGAGAATTTCAGCGTTTGGCAGCTCAATCTGGACTCTATGAAAGTGAAGAACTTTAATAACTTTACCAACATTGGAAAACAGCCAACTACACCATTAGTAATATAATTGATTACATTTTTTGAAATTAATCCATAGCTGTATTAACAGATTATGGTTTTAATTAGGTAATATAGTTAATATATATTTATATTATTATTTATCCTTTGACTCTTGCACATTCTATGTACTCCTCCAATTTGTGAAGCCTACAGGAAATCTGGGTATATGGATTTGTAACTGTAGAAGACCATCTTAAAATACAGGATTTTAACATTTAAGTCATACACATTTAACAATTACAGGTTATAAATTAGTATCAACTTTTTAAACACATCTAATGCTTGTAATAATGTTTATTGGTACTGCTTTCTAAATACTGTTTTACCCGTTTTCTCTTGTAGGAATACTAACATGGTATAGATTATCTGAGTGCTCCACAGTTTTATGTCAAAAGAGAATAAAATTCAAATATTTAAAACGGACTGTCTCCTCTTCACAAAAAGTCTAGATCTGTAAAATAAAACTCCACTCAGCAAAACCTATGAATAACAAGTTCCAAAAGAGGAATGTTATATTCTAGAACAGTGTGAAGCTCACTTACAGCTCAGCCAATTCCTCTAGAAAACTGAGCTAGACTTTCCATGGTTTGCACTTCAAAGGCAACCACGATTAACTTAAATCATGACTGAATCTACCGAATTTGTGATTTTGTTTTAACCAAACAGGTCTCTAATTCTTCAGGATTTTTCAGTCTGTTATGCTCAAAGGAATAATAGTCTCTAGAGGTCACCTACTTAATTCTCATAGTTAATGTAAATTTGACAGCCCTGTAGTCCCAGCTGCTGGGAGAGGTTGAGCTGGGGATCCCTTAAGATCAGGAGTTTGAGGCCACACTGGGAAACATAGGGAGACTCCCTCTCTAAAAAAAAAAAAAAAAAAAAAAACTATTATGTAAATTTGAATACCTATTTATGGGTGTTTTTCCTCCAATAATTTCAATTTCAGATAACCTCTTACTTTAGAAAGCATAATTTTGTGAACTGCTGAGAGTCCCAGTACAGGAAAGCCCAAATCCTTTTGTTAAAACTATTCCAAAGCTTTTTTCCCTCTCGGGCCTCTAGTTCACTGGCTGTCAGCCTTTTGTGAGGCCTCTCCTGTTCCTCTCATCAATGGTAGTTTTTGACCCTCACTACTGTGTGACCCAGTTTTGCTTTTTATCTATACATAAAACAGCATTTATCGACATCATTCTACATCTCTTTCAGGGAAATAACAAAAGTGGCTTTCTGTTTTACTTTCAAAACTGTTTAGTGTTTTCTTTGCAGGTTTCCCTGCGGCCTTTGGACTGGATTCCATTTTATTTTCCTTTTTATCAACATGAGAATCCGTCCTGGTCTTACATCCTGGAGGGTTTTTGGCTGCCTTAATTTACAGCCAAATTAATTTGGCCTTTTCTATAGCTGATTTACCAACCTTCTCCTCTTTGCAAAGCTTCTGGGTCAGATATGGGTCTGGGCTCCTGTTTTGGCCTGCCCTTTCGCATAATCACCGCAGGATTTTTCATCTATTTTTACATTAGTGGGGCAGGAGAGTGGAAGCTACTTCCAGCAACAGCTCTCGGTTAATAACCAGTGTCTGCAAGTAGCAGCAGCAGCAGCAGCAGCGTGGGGTCACGGTTAGGCATTTGGGCTTGGGCATCCAACAGACTTGGCCCCAACTTTCAGTGAATTATTTCATTTATCAGCGTCTCGGTTTCTTCAGGCCTAAAATGAGGACAAAAATACCTACCTTTCACGGAGGTGGATGTGGAGACTAACAAGGCGATAAATGTTAAAGGTATTCGAGAAAGAGAAGCCCGTGATAATGAATAATACGATTTTTAAGCCCACAGCCAGGTTATTCCCAGAAGTTGGCCCTCCGCACCAGACCCCCGCAGCCCGCAGCCCGCAGCCC